GTGCAAAATGAAAATTTGCTTTTTTTTTTTAATCTGGATTGCAAAATTATTATGCAAAATCTATCGAACCGATTTTGATAAAATTTGGTGAGATGATTCTACATAACATGAAGTTTTCTTGAGCCAAGTATAAAGGTCCTACACCCAATTTTAATCCACCAAAAAAAATTTCCTAAAAAGTATTGTTTTTTAACCCCATTTTTGTGATTTTTTCGATTTTTACCAGAATAATCATGATTCATTCGATTTGTAACCAGTCATGTATTGTAAAAAATGTAATTACAAACATTTTTTTCCTCTTTCATTTTCGCCTAAAATCAACTCTTAAAAAGATACATAATGAAATTGGGAGAAAAATATGACATTTTTTCAATTTCTTTAACATATTGTGTCGCCAAAAGTTAAGCCCACGTTTTTTTTATGCGCATAGAAAAGTTTTCATTTCTAGTGATATTTGAAAGCCAAAAAGCCAAAAATCTCCGTGGATATACGATTCACCCAAATATGGCTTTTTGAAACAGATACCGTCTGGACTACTATACCTAGCAGTGTAAATAACTAATGTTCTACCATCGTCAGGCATTTATACAAATGTCTGCATTATAAATTTATGAAATTTGAGATACTAGAGCTACAAATAATTGGTAGAATGACCAAATGAATCATTGCACCTGGTTCTACAAATGCATCCAGAAAAGCATTATAAATAAAAAAAATTCAATCAGATCTTCCATATCCCAAAAAAAAAAATAGAGGTTCTTAATGAGACCCACTGCATTAGCCATTAGTTCATGATATCTGACAAAATTGCGAAGTATACCTATTCTTGAACATAAAGTAATAAAATATACCCATGTGAAATTAAAGAGACACCTGAATATACATATTTAACTAGTTACTTGCACACATTTGCAAATGATTAGTGAATAATGCAACTAACATAAAGTAAAATTTAATTACTTTAAGTCAAAATTAATAAGTACTACCTTCTACTAAAATAAATATTCTGACCTTTCAAAGTTCAAATCCAAATTGCAGGTTCAAATTTAAAGAGGTTTCTTCTGTTCATGCGCGGTGCATTTTTGTTGACATTACACCTTTTGACAAGTAAAGGTTTTGTGTTTGTGATTGTGAGAGTGAGGTTATAAAATGGATAATTTGACGTTTGGTACACAAAGGTAATTGAGTTCGTTTTATTTGTTTAAAATTTACTAATTCGATTCCTGTTTCCATCCAGATTGGTGCATTTGGATCTGAAAGGCGCTCCGCCCAAGATAACTTTTTTCGAAAAGGTGAGATAACTGTTACCTAATCCAAAAATGGGTAACCTACTTTATTAGTCAAAACAAAAACAAATCATTTGTTTTGACTGCTTATGACGCAACCGTTTATTTACGTTAATATTTACCAGGATTTTCTGATTATGTTTCATAATTATTAATAACTTTATCATACACTTTTGATTTAAATTTGTTTTCTAGTTTTTTCCTTTCATAAAGGATTGTGGGGCTACTGGTATTTTACTAGAATGGGAAGATACATTTCCGTTTACGAAAGAGTTAATACAGATAGGGGGCCTGTCCAACAGTGCCCAAGTGAGTGGTGCACCTTACTCTTTAGAAGAGGCTCGACAACTACTTGATTTAGGTAAAACTGATTATGACCGCAAAAAAGTATTATAAACATATTTAGTAACTTTGAAAATGATTCTTTTATGGTAAGTAAATTCATTGTTTTAGCCTCAGATTGTGATTTAACAGTGATACCTTTAGTACAAACGTTTGGACACATGGAATTTGTTTTAAAACATGAGCAATGGCGGAGTTTGCGAGAAGTGGAGGCATATCCCAGTTCCATGTGTCCTAGTAATAGTGAGACCATGCCACTCGTTAGGAGGTTGGTGAAACAAATTGTTGCATTCCATCCCAATATAACCCACCTTCATATTGGAGGCGATGAGGTAACTTATTCTCTAAATGTTTTTATGCACATACCTTTTTAATAAAACAGAAAATATGCCTACTGTCCTCTCGCATTTTTGGAGTAGGTAATGTTTGGGATTAGAATGAGGGTTAGAGCATTATTATTATATAAACTTTCTGATTTTTATATTGGTTTTATTAAGAAAGATAAGAGGTTATTAGTAATTTTTTTAAACTTTTTAGCGTAGTTAACACCTACGAGCCCAGGCTCATAATAGTTCGGCCGGCCAACATTTTCAACTAAATTAATAATGTATGAATTATGCAGAAATAATGAAATATTTCTGAAAATCCTTTTAACTACAGTAAAATATAAACTTTTTAGTTACAAAAATGAACATTTTATTCAATACATATATCGACTAATGGTTACACAATAGAAAACTTTATCCGTCTCAGGGGTCATAAAAGTTCGGCTACTCTTTAATATTGAGTTACATCGCCTTTGTTCTTAATAACTGCTTTAATTCTGCTAGACATTGTATTTACTAACAAAGCACATTCTTCTGGTAGAATATTATCCCAAATATTCAGTAGTGTGGCTTTTAATTCAGGCACTGAACGTGCTGGATGTTTCCGANCCGTTTTCTTTGTGTCCGATGAAGATAAATTTTCAAAAGTTATACATCGTTTTGCAAGGAGAGTGAAAAATTCTTTTAAGTGTGGGAGGTTCTGTTGAACGTTTTTCTAACTCGTATGCTTTACGTGTATCAAAATCTAGTTTTTGACAAGCTATAGATAAGTAATATATAGATCCCACTCTTGTACTCAGTCCTTCGTTCAGGATGCAATTATTAAATAACAATAAAAACAAACATATATTTCGTGTTTTGTGGAATTTAATTTTCTTTTTACAAAACATTGTTAAAAAACTATCGGTATAAATGGGTAGTCGCAGTAATCCCTCTGTATATTTTAGGATATTTAAGAAAATCTCAATCGTAATATTTTTTTTCCAGGTTTCCTTAAGTACTACACCAGATACCTAAACGGATTACGAACAAATCCCCGGGATGACGCTCTAATGTGACGATAGCAAGGAGGATCGTGAGGCCGCTGAAAAATCTAAGGTTAGTGTTGAAATTTTTGATTTATATATCCATTTGATTGATTAAATATAAACGTAATAAATTTATCCAAAAAGGCCCATTTCGCAGTGACGGGATTTTTTATAACTATTGGTCCTAATTTTCCAATTCTTTTGAATTTTTTGTCTTCGAAGTCTTCGTTGTGAAGATACAAGGTGTTGAAGTTTAAATAGTCTAAATATATTTTAAATAAACAAATACGTATATTCAAACGGGTAGATTTGTCTTATAAGCCTCGCGCAATATTGCACATTACTGGTACCGTCAACGTCAAATCAAAATCTCTAAATCATAACGTCTACGTTCGAGATAACGCAATCGCTGATTTGTTGGATAAATCTCAGGTTACACTCAAAGTTACACCAATCACCAGCCGCTAAAACCTAATTACTATTCCAGACGAAGTTACTGGTCACGGGGTTTATAATCATTCATGATCGAAGGTCTTGTTTGTAATTTCACAATACATATAGAGGTTGTCCCGATAAAACATGCAGGGTGTTCGTATTTAATTTTGTTAATAAAACTGTACCGCCTCAAACGTTGCCTTGGAAATATATTTCATCGGTAGTTTCCTTGGGTTTTAGACCATTTAACCTTAGTACGATTTAGCTTTTTTAAATTTATTTATTTATTTATTTATACTGCATACATACAGACAAAGGGACAGTCCAATTACAGGTATACAGTTGAGAAATGTTAGCTAATATAAAAAACAAGTTAAAAATAATGTATAAACAACCAGACACATGCAAAATACAATGTAAAAAGAGAACAAAGAAAGAAAACAAAAAAATTTCAGTTAAAATGTACATAAAACACCCAATTTAGTAAATTGATAGTCTATACTTACTTTATTACAAGTGAGGTAGTTTTAAGGAAATCTTTCATCATTTTGGTCGAATTTGTAATTTATTCAAGTATTTAATTAAAAACGTTGGCCGGCCCAACTATTATGAGCCTGGGCTCGTACATCCTATTCAACTTTATTTTAGTTTTTTAAATATTTTTAGGTGTGTGCGTGTACAAAATATGTCCCATTGAAATTAAATTAATTGATAAGAAACGGTTTGGTTATGATAAATGTGACATTTTAATTTTTGCCTCAGCCTAAAATTTTTTGTCATTCACATCTATTTTTAAGATAATTTTGTTTATTAAGAGATTTTTCTCCAGATCTGGCATATGGGACTATGCCCTGCCTGCCAAAAAAGAGTACAAACAACTAAATACGGTAGAGCTGGTCTGTACCTTGATCATGTTACTGAACTAGCTCAATACATCAAAGATAATTATCCAAATCTCAAGATTATCATTTGGGATGACATGTTAAGAAATATCGACTTACATATTTTACAAGGTAAGTATGTCTCACTTTTCGCTATTCTATGTTTAATTTCCAATTTTTTTTTTTTAAACTTCATTTCAAAATTGGCAGCATTCAAAATAGGCCCTATTTTCACAGTTATTTCTCTTGTGAACAGCGCTTTAGATTATGATTATATATTTTTTTATGAAATGTAGATTTTTTGTTCTTGACGCAAATGTAGAAATTTTGATCAAAATTTCAATTTTGATGACGCTGAAAACATGCTCAACTTTTCAGCTAGTTCTTTCTTGCAGATTATTATGTAGGAAACCTAGTAGAACCAATGATCTGGCATTACAATTCTACAGAAACATTTCAACTAGGTGGTTTGTTGTGGGAGAAATACAGTAACATTTTTTCCAACATCTGGGGTGCGACTGCATTCAAAGGGGCAACCAGTAGCTGCCAATTGATCCCCGTAACTAAATATCACATAAGTAATCACGAGGCTTGGCTGACGGAATTGGGTGTACATGCTGGGAAGATATTGAACTTCCGTGGCATTGCTTTGACGGGGTGGTCGAGATTTGACCACTATGCAACGTTGTGTGAGCTATTGCCGTGTGGCATTCCCTCTCTGTGTTTGTGTCTGAAGACTTGGTTGGCTGGTGGATATTCGCATGATATACAAGAGTAAGTGTTACACATCACTAAAATACATTTTATTCAAAATATTTGAGAAATATAATAAATATCAACTTCTTCAAAATTGCACGTCCTAAGCCTGCTATGATTTTCTTAGGTGCCAATGTGTTTCGTAAAAAGTTTCACATTAAAAATAATTTTTTTTTGGTCTTAAATCTAATGTGAGTGCCGTTTATGCGGGAATAGAGAACAAAAAAAGAAATTAATCATCGCATATGGCGGTTTTATTGTTTTTCAAAATATTCTCCTTGAAGATCAATATGCTCTTGCATGCCCTTGACCCAATTTTCTAACCACTTTTTCCATTCTGATTGAAGTACATCCAAAACATGCATTTTGAACATATCAACTGCTTTTTCTTCAGGCGTTGACCTTGTAATTTATTTTTGATGTGCAGAAATAAAAAAGTCATTGGGTGTCAAATCAGGGCCATACAGTGTAGGTATCAATTCGACTTTTTCAGTTCTCAAAAAGTCTCTTGTTTAATTTGATGTGTGAGAGCTCGCATTGGTGGAGATTGATGCGTCTTCAGCGGTTGGTTTCCCTTATTTTTCCGTAGACTTCTGGCAAACAAATGGTTGTGTGCCATTCAGAGTTGACCGTCTGTCGTTGCGCTAATGATACAGTTACTGAATGTCCGGTTTGTTCAAAAAAACAAGTCACCATTTGCTTAGTAGAATTGATTCGTGCACGAACAACTTTTGTTGGATTTGACTCATCTTGAAAGACCCATACAATTTATTGCTTTACTTTCGGATTCATACACATAAGCACCGTCAACGTATTTCATGAGCATTTCTTTTTGAGCAATCGACAAGCCTTTTTTTGAGAGTTTGTCAAATTAGTGGGATTCAACTCGAACAAATTTTTGTGACGACCAGATGTTCATGCAATATTAAATGCCCAAGGATGCGTCAATCTCACAATAAGTCACATGATGATCTTGCAATATCAGCATCAGCACAGCATCAATGTTTTATGGATCAACAACACATTTTGGTCGTACTTTACGAAATTCATCAGTGAGCGACCCGTGGCCACGATTGAATTTCGTATACCACCGATATATAGTAATTTTGATGGTGCTTCATCGCCAAAAAGTCGAATTAAGTTCATCGATATACTGTTGTTGAGGTAATCCACGTCGAAAGTGGTAAAGAATAATCGCATAGAAATGTTCACGACTTAATTCAATTTCTTGGCTGAGACGAATTTTTCAAGTCACTGTAAATAACACAAATAGTACCTGTATGTCCCACATTCGGCGTATGTATACTGACAAAAAGTCGAACTTTACGATAGAGACGTTGGTTGTCAAATGGCAGCATCAGGATTGTCTATTCCCAAAATATAAAAGGCATCTCTTGTAGTGTTAAACTATGCCTTAATTGTGCCATCTATTAATAGGAAGTTCAACTAAAATCACATACTATTCTTTTCCTTTTATTTATTAATAGTGAAACACACAGGAGTTACTTAAACAAAAAGTTTTCTATAGTCTATTATGTCATAAGTGGGTAACAATGGCATATAACTCGAATCAAGTTTTTTAAAATCTAATAAAAATTTTTGTAAAGGAATTGCTATGGATTAAAGTGCATTGTCATGTATTATTAAAAGTATTAAAAGGCATTACTCTGAAATTTAAGGATATGCATATTTTTTAATATTTCAATTGCTTTTTAATGAGATTTTTTTGTACATTTGTACCTACTTTGCATGAAGAATTTGCATTTTATATTGCACAATTAATCTTTGATGGTGAAAAAGGCAATTTGCTAACCTTTGTCGAATAAAGTCATGTTACTGGAATTCGGATAAAAAAATTTTGAACAAGTTGCAGTTGCCAGAATACGTATTCTAAGAATCTATGAACTTTATTTTTATGTACTATGTTAATGACCTGTACACCTATAAATCGGGACACTATGTGTGTATTACAAACCAAAATATTGCAATACCTATTTGCTTATTTACATTAAAACAGAGACTTATCGAATAATCTATAAAAAATTTCAGCTCAGTTGGTAAAATGTTGGGATACAATGACACGTTTCCACATCCCGATTATATGTACTTAAGACCACCATTGCCGCTTCCCCAACTGACATTTCCTGGTTGGCAGGTCCTGGTTGGCTTCGAATGGCTAGCTAACTTAAGAACTCGGTACAAAAATATAGTAAACAGTGATCAGTAAGTGTTACAATTGAGTTTAGTACTTAATATTCCTTTTTACCAATTTTTAGGATGCAAACGTGGTTCAATCTGTGGCAGGTTTCAAATAACTACACAAATCCTATGCAGATCAACACTATTTTGCCAGTTATTGCAGAGTAAGTAGTAAGTTGAGTGTCGTTGACAATTAAGGCTGATTCGTATTAAGCACTTAGGTCACAGTTCACTCCCACTAAGGAATTTTGTACAGTATACATAGTGGATGCTCAAGTACGAAGCATATCCACAAAGAAAGAGTACTCAATTTGTTTAAAATCGAAATGGCAGTATATTTATGGAAAATTACATATTCAGAAAGCTACATGAAAAATTTTTTGACATAGTCACTTTGAGTGATGAGCTTTCTGATACCTTCGTCAAAAAAATCTCTCGTCGCCTCTCAGGCCCATTGTTCCATGGCACTGTGGACTTCATTGTCAGTAGAAAACCTTTTTCCACCCATAAACACCTTCAGAGAAGAAAAAGAATGAAAATCAGAAGGTGCTAGGTCAGGACTGTGAGCGGGGTGGTTCATGATGTTCCAACCGAATGAATCCAAAAGTTTCTTTGTGGCTTAGCTGTGTAGGGACGTGCATTGCCATGCAACCAGCACACTCCCATCATTAACACGCCCCTTCTTTTATTCTGTATTACCCTCCGTAGTGTTTTCAGGGTTTCACACTACCACGCAGTATTAATTGTTTCCCCCGTTAGCAAATGTCAATGAGAAAAACCCCTAAACACGGTTGCCATGGTTTTTCGGGCCAAAATAAATGTTCAATTTTTTCACTGATAGTGAAGACGGATGTTGCCACTGCATTGATTGTCTTTTCGTATCAGGGGTGTAGTGGGCCACCCATGTTTTATCGCCAGTAACAATACAGTCAAGTAATTGAAGCGTTCGAGAAATTCCGTGGAAATGCGATTCTTTTGGCGTTATGTTGATCCGTGAGCTGTTTTGGTACCCGCCTCACACACAATCAATAACCAACAGTTTTAGTCACGATTTTATGCATAAGAGATCTGGACATTTGTAGAAACACTGCGTTCATCTCATCCAAAGTCAATCAACGATCGCCACAAAGCATTCCTTCAATTTTGTTCACCATCTCATCAGTCATGATTGAGGGACGCAAACTCCTTTGTTCATCATGAACATTCTGCCAGATTTATACTCACGACACTACTTGTACACATTAGCACGTTTTATCACACCATCCCCATAAAAAGTATTGATTTCTTTAAAAATCTGGAATGGCGCCTTTCTCTTCGCAAGATGAAATAGTAGTACACTCCACATCTCGCAGCTGGTTGGATTCGGAATAATGGAACTCATTTTTCAACACACCATTACAACAGCTGTTCTCAACAGACTGCCAACCGTGTCGAAACCAAAATCCACAGCATCAGAATCTCTTACTTTGTGGATATGCCTCATAATGCGCACTTTCAGTGCATTCTAGTGCAAATTGTATCCGGAGCTAGACATTGGAGGTGTATATAAACATTTTTCGAATTGATTTAGCCATAATTTCAATATGTTTGGATGATAAATATGCAAAATAGGAAAAAGGAAGAAAACGGTATTTAAAAGGAACATAAAACTGTGGGAGAATTTTTTACTATATATGAATAATTTACGGATGACGAAACGAAGTTCTTCCAGTATTTTCCTGACAAAACATACATTTCTCTATATTTTCATCGAACTTGACAAAAAAAATATTACATTGCGAGAGGTTATCACACTATTGGAAAAGTTATTTGTTTACTAAAGTAAGCGCTGAAATTATTGGAGATGGAGTGTACAATTAATTGGATTCTAATACAGTCTAATTAATTACAGAGGCCCACAAACAAAAATTGAATAGTCCTTTTTCCCAGACTAGTGACCTTTATGTTTTTGGGGTCTCTGATCACAATCCCGGTGTCCATATGAGCCCATCACGAGATCAAGGTCAAATGAAGGTCAAACACATTAACTTGAATGATACAATTTTTTTCACCCCGGATTTTGAAAGAGTGGAAAATTGTATGTCCGAACCTAGTCTGTGAAAAAGAACTTTTCGATTTCTATTTGTGGGCCTGTGTTATTATTTTCTTCAATTAATTTTTCATCCATCCTGATGATCGTTTTTATATACAAATAGGCAGAATAATATTAAATAATAGCCAATTATGACTTTCCTCTGACCGGCACTTGCTCACACTGATACGACGGACTGCTCAGAGTTTGTTCAAAAGATTGTGGCTAAACAAAGGCTGCGGTCCAAGACTGTAATAATAATTGTTTGTCAACAAATGAATTTATTAATTGTATGTATGTATTATTTCACAGATCAGCCACATTTCTGTATTATATTCGCTTTTTTTAGCATATTGATAGAGGTAACTTCAGTAGAAAACTACCTAAAAGGAAACCTGGATCATTTTTTTTACCAGCACACTATAGAAGAGCTCATGGGAACCCTGCTAATACCGATAAAACAACACCTGAAGCAAATAAAGGCTGATTGTGAGACGCAGCTCTCTCTAGGCTGCCGAGTAAGGGGCTACAAGCGATTGAGCCTTTAATTATATTATTTGATCTGCCATGCTCACAGAGAGGGGCCCATCATAATAAGACTAATGAGTTTAGATTTGTAACTAATTTATTGCTCGTTTCATTTCCAAGTCCTTTTCTTTTCAATAAACGCTTGGGGATAGCCTTTTTCTTTATTGTGGCAGGCGTTGCTAAGTCATTTGATTTTTCATACTTGAAATGTTTGCACATTGTGATATCACATGATAAGATATTTTATTCATATAAGTATATATTTATATTAAAAGTATTATTTAAATAAAATTTTTAGATTGTCTATAAAATAGGATTGTTTTATTTCCTAACCTCCAATTTTTTTTTACGTTATCGGGAGTGAGGAACAGAACAGTGTTAATGAGTATATAACAGTGTTAAGAACATGGATAGTTACTACATTGAAAATGGAATATAAATGAGGAGGGTGTGCTGACAAACGAGGGAGAATGATTGTCACATCGGAGTGCTCGTAGTTATATTTATTTGGGCAATAATCCCCAAATATACGTACGTTTAATGTTTGACTAATTTGTTTATTTATTTATTTATTTAAAAATAACTTCTACAGATTTTTCCCAATTACAGAACAAGAGCATGTAAAATGGAAATAAAATAGCATACTATGATAAAAAAAAAAAGATAAAACATAAAAAACAATCTAACAGAAACTAATAAAACTAATGTTTAAAATATTATTTGATTTAAGACTACTAAGTCTGCAACTAAAAATACTGTTAAATACTTGAAAAATCACTCATGTTTCGATTGCAGCACCAGAAATCGTTCGTATGAAGCCTGCCGCCACAAACGTCCAGTCGGCATCAGTAGAAAATCGAAAATTTCACGTATGTTCCGAAACCACCCCCCGAAACTGTTTACGAAACTGCATATCAGTCTAAACACCCTTAGCCAGAACAGATGACATCTAAAGAACCCGGTGCTGTTGCCAGAGGAACGCCGAAGATCGTAGCAAGATGTACATATATAAAAAATCGACTCGTTTTCAAATTTTTCTGTAAAACGCCAAGAATGCTACTAAATTTGAGCTGAGCCACAACACCAAGCTGCCTTATATGTCTATGTACATGATCACCTCCAGTTATAGAATTACTTTTCACTTCCTCCTGTTCCCGGGCTAGGCTCTGTAGGGGCGGACTCTAAAGTCGTTACAAACGAAACAGCTCCTGACACGTTCTATATAGTGGCCTCTGTAGATAGTCCCATCCAATGCTTCCGAACCTCTCGCCGTTCTTCACTGCTGACATCTTCAATAGTAACTCTGCAGGTGTGTTTCGCCGTGTAGACATGATCTCGAAATATAATCTTACCTTTAAGGAGAGAATTAGGCGGTCGCGGTCCCGTCGCATTGCGATCCGTTCTGGGCCATAGAAAAAGGATATTTTATATATGTATAATCCTCTTTCTATGTTCTGGGCTGAGCTGATCGCGGTATTTTACAAAATCAGTCGCATTTGGCAATTGCACACAATCCTGCTTGCGCTCTGCTTTAAATAGTTGCGGTATTGTTTTAGTAGAGTATGCTCGTCTCGATATGGCATCGCGGTCTCCCGCGATTATTTGGAAAAGATCGGAGAACGCGATATGAGCGAGACGAGCTCGGGAACGTCTATGGTAGGAGTATATTCGATGGAATGTATTAAATCATTATATCGGTCGATAGCCGCACGGGTTAAGGAGTCAGTACTTAAATCGTGTGCAAATTTCTGCCCGGGTTCGATTCCCGCGGCCGGTAGACCGTAGATTAGCTATGCTTGTACGGAGGATTGGCACCCTCTGTGCAGGTATGGTAGGGTGGAAGAATGTTGGCTTGGCTCAATGTGAGAGATTGACACCGGTTGGCATTTGACCACCCCCCTCCAGGTTTCCCTCATTCCTGCACTGAATGGTAGTTAGGGCCTGTTGCAAATGCGGCCTGCCTAATAATAATATGCCGCCTCCTCTCCCGCACAAGTCTCCGACTTATGGGCTAATTCTCGTAGTTAGAATGAGGAGTAGAGATATCATTATATTATTATTATTGCCTGTCAAGGGATCCAGTACCATACGTTTTTAAAGGTTTTAGACATTGAATAATTTCTTTATACATTATGAAGGGACGAAAGGATCAGTTCGCGTCTGGCACCTTTGTTCATACAAAAATTCCTTTATTCTCATAAACTATTTATTTTAAATGTAATTTATTATAAATCCAATTTGTTTTTAATTTCCACATGTTACTACATTTTACCTCTGTACGCGCCACTGTTGTTTACTTGTTTTTTGGAAGCGCTCTCTGTTTTACGATCAAGCTCGCCAAGTTAGTATTTGACATATAACCGACCACTTCGTACACTCGATGCACCTGGGCGACTATATACAGCTACTACCAGAACACAGTACGTAGTATGCAGCGGTATTTCAGATTTAACATTCAATTTCATTGTAAATTTGAAATGGTTCATCTTACGCCTCCTAAAAATGATGACACGATTTTCCTTTAATAAAAGACCGACAACTTTTTGCTCTACTTTGCATCGAATACGATCCTACTATAGTGCGAATACATACATTATAAAACATAGGAAGGAATCCACCGCGCGCGATCGAGACTAGCACGGTCCGCGATGCGACGGGACCGTGGCACTGTTGCCTAAACAAAAGATAAATTGCAAACGATCTAATGGGTAAAACAATGATCAATCGACAAGTACAATCCTATATGCACCTAATAAACGAATTACGGCTGGAACTTCACGATTATAAGCAGAATTATCTGCGTATGGACGAAAGTATACATACTATACACGAAATTGCTTGAACTTGTTTCTCCATTAATTAAAAACAAGATACTATAATGAGGTTAGCAGTGACTCCCTATGAATGACTAAGTACTACTTTGAGATATTTAGCAACAGGAAGAAACTATGAAGATTTAAAATCCTCAGTCCGTATCTCGGCTAAAGCTTTGGGTAAAATAAACCCGAAACTCTCGGCCTGTCTGTACTCACTCTTCAGGCATACACCTTCGGACTTGTATAAGCGAAAAACGTAGCCGAAAGCAAAATTTCAAGTGCCGGCAGTTTTTCCGGCCAATATACCCACTAACGTTACGATTTGCCTTCCGGTTTGAAAACCAGAAGGCCTGCCTTTCGGTAAACTGCATCTTGTGTGCCGGCCTATAGATTTCTGCTCCACCCACCTAGGCCTGGGCAATACAGTGGTTTGAGTGGGGCGAGTGCGTTACCGTTCTCAAAAACGGTGAAATGACGTGAAAATGTCACACGAAAAATGTACAAAAAATAAAACAATGACAAAAGGCTCAGATGAAAACATCATCAGTTACAACAAAAAGACTGTATTTTACTTTTGAAAATGTCTGGTCTAGATTCCAAGCTTCTAAACTAAGCTATTATACAGGGTGGTCCGAATTTTATGCAGGAAACTTCGAGGGCATATAGATCTCTTTAAAATAATAGGTGTTTGCCTTATAAACATAGGTCTGGAACGGCCTCGTTTTAGAGATACAGGGTGTTGAAGTTGTTAAAAAAATTTGATTTTTTGTTTATATCTCCGGAATCTATTAACCGATCTTAATAAAATTTGGTACAGATAATGTATGACAGTAGGCCTTACATTTCCTAAAATATGAGCTCTAAAGGTTCAACCAGTGGTGTACAACTGGACAGGGGCCGCCCTCTTTTTATAAAAAAAACTACGCCACTGTATTTTTTGCAAGTTATTGTAACGGATTTATATTCTAATGCACTAAATACGTAAAAAAGGTAACTTGAAATTTTTCCCTAAGATTCACCGTTCTCAAGTTATTCATACAAATACAAACCCCTTGTGNCTACAAAAATTCCTTTATTCTCATAAACTATTTATTTTAAATGTAATTTATTATAAATCCAATTTGTTTCCTAAATTCCACATATGTACTACATTTTACCTCTGTACGCGCCACTGTTGTTTACTTGTTTTTTGGAGGCGCTCTCTGTTTTACGATCAAGCTCGCCAGGTTAGTATTTGACATATAACCGACCACTTCGTACACTCGATGCACCTGGGCGACTATGTACAGCTACTACCAGAACACAGTACGTAGTATGCAGCGGTATTTCAGATTTAACATTCAATTTCATTTTAAATTTGAAATGCGGTTCATCTTACGACGCCTCCTAAAAATGATGACACGATTTTCCTTTGATAAAAGACCGACAACTTTTTGCTCTACTTTGCATCGAATACGATCCTACTATAGTGCGAATACATACATTATAAAACATAGGAAGGAATCCACCGCGCGCGATCGAGACTAGCACGGTCCGCGATGCGACGGGACCGTGGCACTGTTGCCTAAACAAAAGATAAATTGCAAACGATCTAATGGGTAAAACAATGATCAATCGACAAGTACAATCCTATATGCACCTAATAAACGAATTACGGCTGGAACTTCACGATTATAAGCAGAATTATCTGCGTATGGACGAAAGTATACATACTATACACGAAATTGCTTGAACTTGTTTCTCCATTAATTAAAAACAAGATACTATAATGAGGTTAGCAGTGACTCCCTATGAATGACTAAGTACTACTTTGAGATATTTAGCAACAGGAAGAAACTATGAAGATTTAAAATCCTCAGTCCGTATCTCGGCTAAAGCTTTGGGTAAAATAAACCCGAAACTCTCGGCCTGTCTGTACTCACTCTTCAGGCATACACCTTCGGACTTGTATAAGCGAAAAACGTAGCCGAAAGCAAAATTTCAAGTGCCGGCAGTTTTTCCGGCCAATATACCCACTAACGTTACGATTTGCCTTCCGGTTTGAAAACCAGAAGGCCTGCCTTTCGGTAAACTGCATCTTGTGTGCCGGCCTATAGATTTCTGCTCCACCCACCTAGGCCTGGGCAATACAGTGGTTTGAGTGGGGCGAGTGCGTTACCGTTCTCAAAAACGGTGAAATGACGTGAAAATGTCACACGAAAAATGTACAAAAAATAAAACAATGACAAAAGGCTCAGATGAAAACATCATCAGTTACAACAAAAAGACTGTATTTTACTTTTGAAAATGTAGGTATGGTCTAGATTCCAAGCTTCTAAACTAAGCTATAACCGCAATGGAAAGAGAGGCCAATCAACACCCAGTCCACGATGAGTATGGTGCATTGTTCGCGGATTACTCAGTAACCTAATTTCTTTAGATGTTATAAACTCTATTGCGATACCGAACAAGTGAGGCACGTTCAAGTTTGTTTCTAATAAAAAACATATATGTATAATCCAATAAAGTTGTGCTCGGCTTATATAGGGGTCGCAAAAAAAATTCCAAACAGGATGATTTTTTCAGGGTTTCTTGGGGACTGCCTCCTGAGTATCCAACCAAAAGATCACACTCGAACTCCTGGTACGAATTGCGCCATAAGGGTGGTTTCCCAAACATTTTTTTAGAGCAAATAAAAATTTGAGAGGATCATATTCTGAATAACTTTTCCATATATTTTTTTTTGTAGGTATGTCTAATACTTGACGAGTTACTACGCATTATGTGTCAAAAATTGGGCACGTCGGGCCGCAAGGGTGGTCTTGTAAATATGTTTTTACAAAAAAAATATCTTCATAAAAGTTGTAGATCAAATTTTGAAAAATTTTTCCTTATAAAAATTTTTGTGCCAGTGAATTATGCTGCTCTGCTCGCATAGTCCCCCCACTCTACACTCTTTGCCTCAAATCAATTTTGATTGCTATTGTACAGTACCTACGTTGTTTTGCCGTAAACTCATTTCAACTTTTGAGCTTTCGATCATATCTCGATGATGATTTATCGTATCCACAAGATCAAAAATAGATTTTGTTCGTCAATCCTTTCTCTATTTGATCCTATAATTATATTCGAAGAATATGCAAATACTGTAGCTCCAGCTCTAAATATTTATAAGTATTTTTTCGAAGAAATTTTGAAAAAATTCTAATTGTTGCTAAAATGGATAAAATCGAAAATTTTACATAATATTTAGAACTACTTCCAATAAAAATTAGCGTTACTATATGAAACATCCATACAACCTAGACTTTTAAAACAGATATCGACTGGACTATAATGGATTCACTATTGGTTACACTATAACTGTAAAGTACTCTCAAGGGATTCGCCAGTAGTGTTTGATTATTTTGCCCATAAAATGATGCTACGTATGAAAGGTTTTTATCTGCGAATTAAATACATTACCGATGAAGCCCGAATACTTCCGTACATGTTTTATCTCCATGTGGTTTATGTTAGTGACGTTACGTATAAATCATATAATAGCCATTTTGGGCATTTTGTAAACATTGTTGCCGTTAGCTGTANTATAGGGGTCGCAAAAAAAATTCCAAACAGGATGATTTTTTCAGGGTTTCTTGGGGACTGCCTCCTGAGTATCCAACCAAAAGATCACACTCGAACTCCTGGTACGAATTGCGCCATAAGGGTGGTTTCCCAAACATTTTTTTAGAGCAAATAAAAATTTGAGAGGATCAAATTCTGAATAACTTTTCCATATATTTTTTTTTGTAGGTATGTCTAATACTTGACGAGTTACTACGCATTATGTGTCAAAAATTGGGCACGTCGCGCCGCAAGGGTGGTCTTGTAAATATGTTTTTACAAAAAAATACCTTCATAAAAGTTGTAGACCAAATTTTGAAAAATTTTTCCCTATAAAAATTTTTGTGCCAGTGAATTATGCTGCTCTGCTCGCATAGTCCCCCCACTCTACACTCTTTGCCTCAAATCAATTTTGATCGCTATTGTACAGTACCTACGTTGTTTTGCCGTAAACTCATTTCAACTTTGAGCTTTCGATCATATCTCGATGATGATTTATCGTATCCACAAGATCAAAAATAGATTTTGTTCGTCAATCCTTCCTCTATTTGATCCTATAATTATATTCGAAGAATATGCAAATACTGTAGCTCCAGCTCTAAATATTTATAAGTATTTTTTCGAAGAAATTTTGAAAAAATTCTAATTGTTGCTAAAATGGATAAAATCGAAAATTTTACATAATATTTAGAACTACTTCCAATAAAAATTAGTGTTACTATATGAAACATCCATACAACCTAGACTTTTAAAACAGATACCGACTGGACTATAATGGATTCACTATTGGTTACACTATAACTGTAAAGTACTCTCAAGGGATTCACCAGTATCAATGCTACCAACTTGTCTTTACTGTCAACTGATGCATTTCACAATAACTAAACCAGTAGACAATCAGAGTTTACATATACACAGCAAAAGAAAATTATGAATTAATAGTTGCAAGAGAACCGATAAACAAAGTTGTAATACCATACAAGAAAACAGAAATAGGTACACTCGACGCAAGATAAAGGTTTCCAACCTAAAAGGCATACTACTTCTCAAGGGGCGAGCCGGTGGACTATTAATAGGAATTTTGGGAGGCATCAATAATTAGGGGCGTGTCATATTTTTTTTTGTGTAGGCACGTGTGTAACGACACATAACAAAAAATTGCAGGCCTGAAGTATATGCATTATAAAAAGAGAAGAGTATACAGTGTGATGTCCTTGTGCACCTCACAACTTGTTAAGTACTCGATTAGAACTCATACAAACGGTGTTTCCAATATTAACATATATTTAAGAATATTGTACAAAAACCTTTTTAATTGACATTGATTAATATTAAATCAATAACTACCAAAAACAACGTATGCGCAGCCGCCATAATACTATAC